CCACACTAGAGTCTCGTCACGTCATGGACACCACACTAGAGTCTCTTCACGTCATGGACACCACACTAGAGTCTCGTCACGTCATGGACACCACACTAGAGTCTCGTCATGGACACCACACTAGAGTCTCGTCACGTCATGGACACCACACTAGAGTCTCGTCACGTCATGGACACCACACTAGAGTCTCGTCACGTCATGGACACCACACATCATGGACACCACACTAAAGTCTCGTCACGTCATGGACACCACACTAGAGTTTTGTCACGTCATGGAAACCACACTAGAGTCATGTCACATCATGGACACCACACTAGAGTCTCGTCACGTCATGGACACCACACTAGAGTCTCGCCTCGTCATGGCTTTCACGCCAGAGTCCCCTCACATCATGGTCGCTCAGGTCACCCTTGGAGATTTTTTGGTGGGGGTTTTTTTGTCCAGCAGATGGAGAGCTTGGGTCATGACGGATCTCAGGGCGGTTCAGACTAACTGCCAGTGTTATGGATCCACAACTAAGGTCAGTGCGAGCGGTGAGCAGGTCCAGTCTGGTGGTCCCAAGTCCAATCCGGTGGTCCCGGAAGTCATCCCATTATCTGCATTGCTTCTGGTAGTGGCCACCGTCATCATGTGTGTGTGGGCCACATACACTTCCTCGAGACGGTGACTGCTACAGCTCCTCCAGAGACTGTGGCGTCCACCTGTGAACTCTTTTCCTGCCACGTCACGGCCACGAAGGCCATTCATGAACTCTCTATGCCCCATGAGACAGCCACAGAGGCTGCTTAGGAACTGTCTGTGTCCCATGTCTCGGCCAGAAGGACAGCCTAGGTTTCTGATCCACCAGCGCTGATCTGGTGGTTCCCATCTCCACTGGCCGTGAACTACCAACTTATCCTCCATGATGTAGTCCTTCACTCCATGGTCCTTTGCTCCAGGGTCTAGGTCTACCTGATCATCCATAGTCTCGTCCTCTGCTCCACAGTCCAGATTCGCCTTTGCTTTACGGTCCCCAGTCCGCCACCATGACATGTTTTGGTTATGTTAATGCCTTCCTGTCTTTTATTTTGATATTTGTCATGATTCCTGTTTCATGTCATGTGATTCCCTGTACCCCTCATGTGATACCTGTCATGTGCCCTGTCTGGCTTTGTTAAATGTATCCCTCTGTTGGTGAGTCTTTGTTTTAATGGTTTATGGTCAGGTTTATGTCAAGTCAAGTCACTCTCTGGTTCTTATTATTTGCATCTGTTCGCGTTTATTTAAATAAACTGCACATGGGTTCAACTCTGCTCGCCTTCAGTGGATAACACGTTACATCACCAATGAAATCTGATAACAACTATCATAAATTTTGTTTTGTAACGTTCAAATCATGACAAAACAATGAAATTAATTTTTCAGGCTGGACCAGCCATGTCAACTATCTCTCAGAGTATTAGGTGACCGTCTGCTTGTTATCTGCTAACACTTTATTTTGATGCTCCCCCAACAGATATTCTACTGACTATAAGTAACTTTGCAAGTACATGTCAACTTATTATACTAACCCTGGCCCTAAACTAGCAGTCTACTTATACTGAGAGTTAGTTGTCATGTAGTTGCAAATTAATGAGAGTTAGTTGACAGTTAGAAAGGGCATTTTCGATTTTTTCCTAACAGCTATTGCAACCTTTTTAGTAAAAGAAAAGAAAAGGGTAACACTTAACTTGAAGGGGTGTACATAAGACTGACATGACACTTTCATAATCATGACATGACACATGTCATGAATATGAAGGAGGTTTTATGTATGTTTATGACAACTGTCATTAAGTGTCATTCGCTCAATTATGACATTTTTAATGCAAATATGACATTGTTTGAAATGTCTTTGTTATGACAACTTGACATAAACCAATACATCATAACCTGTCAGTGTCTTGGTAATGATTGTCTTGGTAATGACAATTTGACATTACCAAAACAACATAAATTGTCATAAATATGTCATAAACATGACATAGCAGATTAATTATCAAACTTAAGAAAGCACTTAGCCTTATGGGTTAACATTACATTAAACTGGCATGTGGTTGGTTTTGATATCAGCTGTCATGAGGCCATTATTTAATTTTTAATGATTTTTGAATGAATCTTTTATGCTCACCAATGTTGCATTTATTTGATCAGAAATACAGTAAAAGCAGTAATATTATGTTATACTGATATTGGGGTGTGAAAACTTTTTGAATTTGAAGATTGTAGAAGATTTTATTATTTAGAAAATAAGTAATTTAGCTGTATATTTGTACACTATGTCCACTGGGTGTGACTGGTTTAACTTTCTGAAGCCTGAAGAAAGGCGTGGAATGTTGCTTGCAGCAGAAAATTCTATTCTAGTATGTCACATGATACAAATACCTCTTACCCAAAAATATCTATAGGGTGTGGTATTTTTGGAAAAGGATGTATGGTATAGTGTGAGCTGAGCAAAGTTCTGGCATCAAAGATCTCTGAGAAGTGATTTCACAAAAGAGAGAAACCACAACAAGATCAAGGTAAATTGTACTTCATTTGTCTTCTGGGAAATATGTACCGGGTATCTTTTGTTGCTTCTGAAGGGCAGTGCTAAAAAAATTTTTATTTTTATATTAAAACAAAATAAGAAATATTTGGACATCTTCATCCTGTTCAAAAGTTTTCACCCCCAACTCTTAATGCATCGTGTTTCCTTCTGGAGCATCAGTTAATTTTTTATAGTCTATCAACCTTTTTTTCAATAGTTGTGATTGAATCCCTCAATTTTCCTTAGTGTGAAAAGATGGATCTTAAAATCATACAGTCACTACTGGAAAGGGTTCAAATGTGCAAAAAATGCTGGAAAACTGAAGAATTTGCAGGACCTGGAGACCATTGGGCAGTTTAACTGCTCAGAACAAACAAGGGACTCAAGAACAACTATCACAAAACAAAAAACACAGTATTAGGAAATCAAGGGTATGGAAACTTTTGAAAAGGGTCATTTTTATAAATTCCGCTTTTTTATTTTGTCTTGTGGACTACATACAAACATATTTTATGTAAAATATTGCATTCAGGACAGTACTAAATAAATAATAACATACATTTTGTATGATCCTCTTTATTTTGTTAAAATAATTAACATTTCGCAGTTTGTAAGGTTTAGGTAAACTACTGAGCTTGACTATTTTCTTCAATATTCTTTGATGAATATAAAGTTCAAAAGAACAGCATTTATTTGAAAAATTTATATTTTATAACACTATACAGTACATGTCTTTACTGTCACTTTTGATAAAAATTAATGGTGTCCTTGACTCCTTGCTGAATCAATTTCTTCTTCTTTTTTAAAGTTGTTTTTTCTGTTGCTATGCTATAGTGTTCCTGATGCTGAAGAGAATACTGTCTTATTAACTATTTTAAGAGTCAGGAATCCCCTCTAGTCTTCTCTTTTGTCATGCATCAAGTTACTTTGAAATTCTGATTGAATGAGACATGGGGGATTTTCCATCGACAATACAGATCAATACAAGTGATGCATCCAAAAGCTCCTACAAGTTCTCCATTTCCCATGCACTTTGTGGATTGCTGCGAGCTTAGTGAAGCACAGAAAAGGAGGAACATTTGAGTTATGATCTTTTTGAACTATTTTCTAGTAAAGAAACTATTTATGAATCTATTTTCACCTAAAGAACCCCGATAGGTGGCCAAATTGTGTCATAAACAGAAACACATTTGCAATATGTGTTACTGAATAATAACCCAGCTGTGATTACCTGGCTGAATCACATTTGAGCTTATTCTCATTCAAAAGCACTGTTACCGGTGTGATAATGCTAAATTAGATTTTGTCTAGTTTTCAGATTCAAAAGTTCACCGAGTCCCTGTCTGTTTTCCATGGAATATTAAATGTCAGGTAAATTGTTTCAGTCACTGTTCACTCTCATTGTATGAACAAAGATGCCATGAAAGTAAACGGTCACTGAGGCTGTCAGTCATTTCTGCCTGACATCTCCCTTTGAGTTCCACAGAAGAAAGTATAGTGGTTTGGAATGACATGATGGTGAGTAAATCATCAAGACTGAATTTTCATTTCTAGGTGAACATCTTTTTACACGCGAAAAAGCTCTTAAGATGCTCTGACTTTTCTCTCTGAGGGGATGCACGCAGCATGTTCTTTTGTATGTCAGTTTATTATTTACCAACTCTGTCACTTACAATGTAGTGTTTTAGGATTCTCCGAGGAATATGCCATCTGTAAGTCATATGTTTTCATATATATTACTGGCGGTCAACATCCAACTGATTTTACAAGCATGCTCTTTAAGTTATAAACATTTGGCAAGGATGGGATGTGACTGGGTCGATTGGTAAGAGATCGACACGCAATGTTCGGTTTGAGAGCATCCTCACGGGAGCTCGTGCCCTCGCGCGCCCACTCGTGTCATGTTGAAACTTGCCCATCGACCTGAAACGGGACATTGATCCCATGATGTGTGATTCTGGCAAGCCAACCTTAATATATCGCCGTCACTGACTGGTGCTTGGCCAATTAAACAAAATCGACACCACCTGACGTGTTTTGGCGCATTTACATATTCCGCGTCTCGCGGACGGAGCAGTTAGAGCAGATTGAGTGAAGTTGTTGTTAGTTGTCTTTATCATATGCGCTCAGTGATCTTTTCTGTTACAGGTTAGAAATGATGTTGTGGATATTTGTCTGCCAGTGGTCAGTAAATTGGAAATCTAGTATAGCCTCCATGCCTACTTCATGATATTTTTTCAGTTGAAGAAATCCAGTCGATATTATCAATTCATAGATTCCGGGTTAGACATCAAATCAGTGCAAATCTAATCTTATATTAGTACGCGCCGATGCGCACACACTCTCTAAGAATCAACTTGCGCATAAAAAGGTTAAGCTGTGACACTTCAAATGTATTTCTTTAACACTCTGTAATATTTAGTAATAAAAAGTTTTTGTGCATAGTGAAACGAGTATTCTTTTGCGTTTTTAGGTAATTCAGTCGAGGGGGGCAAAAATTCTCAAGGAATCCAATGACGCGCGCGACGCCTTTTCAGTACCACGGACAGTTCCACGCGCGCACAGCGTCTCAGAGGCGCGCGCTCAACGCAAACTTCACCCGCTGAATAAAACCTGGATTCCACTGCTGGAATTCAGCCATACATTGTAAATGCAACATTAGAGCAATACAAAACTGTCACCAAGGATACGAAGAAAAATACACGGACTTATAACCGGATGTCTTCAAGTAGATCCGCTCGGAATCTGTCGATCAGAGGTGAACTGGACAGGTCAGGTAAGACTGTTATCATCTGAATCTAATCTGTTGAAATAAATGTGTCTTATGTGATTTCAGGAAATCGGATAGTACGACAAATGCAGATAGGCATAAACTTAGCGTTGCTAACAGTTGGTTAAAAACATGCCTTGCATTTTGACTCCTGACACAATCAAGAAATACCAATAATAGGCTAATATTAAAAAGAAATGTCCTTTTAAATTAAAATGTGTTGCATTGGCTTTGCATTTGCATAAGGATTTCAGTTTCAGACGTTTTCAAAAAGGCAATAAAACCAAGCGTCAGATCAGATAAACAATCGCACAGGTAACATCTCATCACATCGCTTTGAATAGCAAAACACTCCCGCTCCGGGGTGTGTCTCTAAACGCATTCTCTGACTGTGCATGTATGGAAAGCATGTAACCATTCTAACTTTATTTGTATAAAATGTGGTTTGTCGCGGTATGGTCAACATTTTTGCGAAGTGAAAAAAGCAGTGGATAGATTCAGATTAACATATCACAAGTTTGTGGACGCTGTTTGTTGCGTGACAAATTTCAAAGCTTGTCGATTATTCACACCACCATGAAACGTAGATTCGTATTATGAAGTCTTACATATTAGACATGTCTAACATGTTGCTTTATACAAATAAAAATAAATTACATTTGATTTAGAATTAAGACATTGACCAACATAATAAAGTATAAAATTGTGTACATACACTGTAATACAATGTAAACATTTTCTTATTATTTACATGATATATCATTTTAGAAATAGCCTATAAGAAGGCTATGGGCTACGTTTTACATTACATTTTGTGCGTAAATAAAGGTTAATTCATACTTCTTACTTCTAAACATATTTTTCATAACATTTTAAAGTAAAATATCTATTAGGATTAATATTATATCGTTTTGGTGTTGTATGGGTAGGCTACCAATTAACAGGGTTTTACTGTAAAACATTTTTTGTTTCTTTAGAGTTTACAGTGTTGTGATTGTTGTTTTTTAACCCAGGCGAGGAGCGAGAGGTAACTGTTAGAAAAGTGCCTATGTCCCTGGTGTTTTTTAACCATTCAAGTTTAACCTTGCTCTCGAACCACAGTAATAATGGTGTTTGTTCATGCCCTTGGTTTTGATTGTTGGCTCTCTGAAACGTTCAAAATCATGCATGGTTGTATCTAGGCTAGCATTCTATTACAATGTGCAGGTTTGCCCAAGTCTGCTGTCTCCTAAAATTACATGATGCCAATCATCGATTCATTTTCGCCCATTTTTGTGTTAAAAAATAATGCACTAAATACAATCAAGATGGAAATGAATACATGCTAACGACGACCACTATATGTGTTTGGCTTTTTTCGTGCAGGGAGGACATGGTTTAAAAATAACAGAAGCTCAAACAGAGGCGAACAACCGTTAGGCTGTTTAGTTTAAATAATTCATGCTCGTGCCGGACATGCTCTTATCCTCTGCTGTGAAGACTTGTGTGAGAGTCAAGAATCTCGCCAGCACGCAAGTCTCTGCTCAGAAAGGTTGGAATGAAAAGGGTTCCTTTTTAACACCAAAACCGAATGATTTTCATGACGTTCGATTCCGTTAACGTTCTCGAACGTGCATTGTTTTTGTCGATGCGAACTGAAATAGGTACTGTAGAGATAGTCCGATTCCCGATCGAATGACTCTTTTGAGTCGGTTCTATTTAGTGAATCAATAACCGTTATGAATCAGTCGAATATGTGCATGTTATTTGTTATAGCCTAATCAGTAGGCTACTACAGTATTTAAAGTGTCTGCATATATATATATATATATATATATATATATATATGTGTGTGTGTGTGTGTTTGATAGTATTTTTATTTAATTTATGCCACTTGTTTGATTGTATTCTGCCCTCATTTGTTATATCTTTTCTGTTGAAATCTGAAATGAGCAAAAGAGAAAGTGTAAAAGAGAGTGAAAAAGAGATAAATAAAAGTAAATTTTCAGGTCTCAGTGATCCAGCAAAGTGGAGATGCCTCTGTGAGCGCGCGGCAAAGCTGCGTTATCACCACAATTGCATGTAAGTGCCTCCTTATCTGCAAGTAACACAACCACACTGAAAATTGATCAACAATAAAAGTGAGAATTGCTAACACAGAGTTCATCTAATGGCTTTTTAGACTGGACGACAAGAAGAATTTACGGTGGTGGGATAAGTCACAGATGCTGACAAGTGTCTTTGGTGGGAAATAGATTAACCGCTTGTGAGATTAATCTGCTGTGGGAGGGATTGATAGGTTACAGCAACAAAGATAGTCAAGTCAAGTCGTCACCTTCATTTATATAGTGCTTTTAACAATATGGACTGTTTCAAAGCAGCTTTATAGTGGAAATTAAAGTAACAGAGATTGTTTTTGGCTTTACAGCAGCTCTAGAATAAAGTTATTGTCCATGTTAAGTTAGTTTTGATCGATTCACTTCCGTTGCAAAGATCATTAGTTATTAACTTAGGGGCCGCTTACACGACACCGTTGTAACAGAAAACCCTCTGCTCCGGCCCGCTCATTCGCAGAATTATTTATCGCTTCCGGGTAGCCATGTGAACCGGAACTATTTTGACAACGTTTTATCTGTACAGAGGTAAAGGGAAGGAGAATATCTAGGTATAATAATGGATTCTAATCTAACATTTAAAAAACAAATTTCAACTTGTCAAATTTCCATCATATCAGAAATTGTCTAAGGCAGCTACAATATATTTGAATGCCATGATCATGCCATATAATGTTTGACTAGCTGGGCACAAGCCTCCAGTACAACACTTAAACCTGTGAAGCTACTTTACCATCAAGGTTCTAAGGTGCTTGATAGGAAGCCAAATACCTATTACCACTGTTACTGCCTACACTGTAAACCCTAATAAGTTGAGACTACTCAAATGATTTGAGGAAAGTGGTTGCGTAAGTTTTTTTGAGTAATGGGAAAATTCAAACTTAATTAATTGAGTTGACCTAATGTGGTCTTCTCATTGAATTAACTTAAATGTTTAAGTAAAGATAACTTAAAAGGCAAATGGAGTAAACTCAAATTTTCCAGGTTATATTTTGTTGTTTACTTATTATTAAATACATTTTAAATAAATTATAAATCATTAAACCAAGTTTTGTTTTTCACAACAGCTTTATTAGGCTTACATTACATATCTTAACTTCTATAATGCATACTGACTGAACATTGTATATTAACATTTAATCAGTAAAAAATACAATTACAATACTTGCAGTAAATTAAATCAATTGATTAAAAATTTTAATTGAAAAGTGAAATTGACCAGATCAGAACAATTGACCAGAACAATTAAAAACACAGTGTAATGAACAACAACAGGCATTGTCTGTTATTGTAAATATTGTCATCTACTTATCTTTCACCCTTTGTAATAGTTGTGTGTGTCCCTCAGTTGTCCTCGGTGTCAATAGATAGATCTCAACATCATACAGTCACTTTTAGAATGGGTTCAAAATTTCAAAATATGCTGGAAAACCAAAAAATGTGTCAGTACTGCAGGCTAACATCAGCGAGATCTCATCCTGGGTAAACTGCCACTGTTGGTCCAAAGGGTCTCATTGCCGCAGTCCTTTAGATGAATGGTTGGGGCAGGGATCGAAGGATCCTGTGATTAAAAAAAAAAAAAAAATTAAGACGCATTTTCTTTTAATACATCGTACAGTACTCATTGTTTAAGCACAGGTTAGAGTGATATAATAATAAAAATGTAACAATACAAAGGAATGTTGCTAGTTGGACAGCAACAAGAATGGAAATAATCAAAGCAAGTCAAAGTGCTTTCTTGCCGTTTCAGTAACTAAATAAAATACAAGATAACTTGGGAAACTGAATTGTATTCAAACAAAAACTCTTTCTGTGTGCTTTACCTTATTGATGACTCAGATCTTTGAAGAGCAGCAGTAGCCTATTCGTGAAGAATGGCAGCGTTTACCACCTGGCCTAAAAACAATCATATATATATACACAGTAAATTACATCATAATAAAACTAAGTACATGGTAGATTTCTACACTTACTAGAACATTGAAACAAACAAAAGGAGTGAAATTTACACTGCACTTCAACAATTATGATATCATTTTAAGTATGTTGCTAAAAAACTTGTTTGCCTCACATGAATCAAGTCAGCTGCAGTTCTTCCTTCAGTGAGTTACTGTTTCTGAAGCCTCTGAGGACAGTTGAGAAGAAAGTGTCTGCTGATTTGTCAAAGGAGAATACGTTAAAGTCCCTGTAAAGGCAATTTTAACAAAACATTCTAAACACATTCTAAAGGTTAGAAATGTATTGCTAAAACATATTACAAAGACTGTGAACTGTGAAGTACTGAATTGTGGAGTTAGACCGTTAAACAGTTTTTCACCCTGGCAATTTCACGGATTTTTTGGGCGGGTCTAAAACAGGGCTCGATGACGCACTGGAGCTCTTGGACACGCCCCTACTCGATGACGCACTGATACTGATCCCTCTAACAATATAAATAGAGCACATTCGCATCAGTTTGGCGCTCATTTGCGAGTTACTGTCAGTACTATTATCAGTTACTACAGCCTACAGTTTGCTATCTAGCCATGCCTTCGTCACGGAAATGCGTACTACTTGGATGCAATCATTTGCAAAACAGATCGGTGTCCTTGTTTAAATTTCCTAAAAACGACGACATCAAGAAGAGGTGGATTAATTTTGTGAAGAGCCACCTTGATGGAGAGCTGAGGATCACCAGCCAAACCCGCCTCTGTAGTGATCATTTTACTCGTGATAGTTTTATAAACTTTCGTCGGAGACAACTGGGATTCACAGATAATCCGTTGTTACTGGTGAAAGGTGCCGCACCGACTATCTCTCGCCTCGGCCTTCATCCTCCCGTCCCGCCGACAACTGGCGCCATCATCGGCAATGCGTGCCCACCAATGAGTGTAAGTTGCCTTGTGTGCTTGTTATAATTATAGTAGGTAGTCCACTGTAACTACTAAATTCTGCAACCCTCTAACGTGATTTTTATTTAACGTTATATGATCAAAATTCCTTAGCCAAGTAATTTAAACTAGTATCTGTTCACAAAGCAGTCCCTTATCTAATGGATTTATGCACATCAATTTATCGTTAATATAACAACCATGATGGCTATTAGTTTGATCTATAACTATAAAGTGTAAATATATTTTTTAATCAGTTGTTTATTGCTAGTCTAACTTAGTTTGATCTATAACTATAAGGTGTAAAAATATGTTGTTTTTTTCTGTTATTTATTGCTAGTCTAACTTTATTTGTCTAAGTTAGGTTAAGCTAGTTAACGTTTACTTACATATAACTTAGCTAACTTGCATAAAAGGGAGAGAAAAAATTTACCATTCTGTTGCAGAGCGAGGGGGACGATGTTGACTTCCTTGGTCAATGTCTTCTGAATCGGATTCAGGCTCTGGAGGCTCAAACAAATATGGCTTGGTATAACCTAATAAGCTGCTAGGAGCATCCATTTCGGCTGTAGCGGGTCCCGTCGAGTGCAGCTTTCCCGCGAGTGGGCGTGGTTTCAGCGCAGCCAGCGGACACGCCCCCAGCGTTTGAGAGCAGAGAAAACTGCTCATTTTTTCAAGATTTTGATAGCTTATTTTATGTACTTGCCGGCTTTTTTTATCATTCAAATTTGGCTGGGTGGCTAATAACACATTTTTCTGTGGTGTGACAAACTCAGAACACATACTTAATTTTGACTTTACGGGGACTTTAACAACTCAAACATAAACGCACTCAATTTAAATCAACAACACTCAATCTTATGTTTTTGTTAAATACTCTATTTAAAAAGGTTTTATGAAAAAGTTTTTATTTGCACTTACCTTCGTCTGATATAAATGTCTGGAAAGGAAAAACAGGACGCTGTCAGTGCACGCAGTAACTGAAGGCAATGGGCTAAAATACAGTTCAGAAAAAAATATGACATTGAAAAACTTTGCCGTTGTGTTATGGTAAACATTATACAATGATTTTATTAATTCACACTTACCTTAGTCTGATGTAAATCTCACAGAAAATACCGGGCGCTGTCAGCGCGCAAGATTTGAATGGAGCAGGGGCGGGAATAAACGGCTCGAAAACAACGTCGGGCTAGAAAATACAGTTTAAAAAAAACTGTTACAACATTGAACAAATTGTGATGTTATGTTCTGGCAAACATGTTATTTAAAATAGTTTTATGAATTCACACTTACCATACGTTTTCTCAGCCTCAGAAAATACCGGACGCTCTGCGCGCGCAAGAAGAACTACAGTGAGTCAGGGGCTGCTGCGCCTGCGGGGGAGGGGGGAGAACAGGCTCGAGAGTCGAGACTCGAGACAGTCGTCGATTAAAAAAAGATTCCATTTACAGGCGTCAGGAATTGAAAGTCTTGATCCAAATGCGAGGCCTGAAATGTCTGTACGTGATGGACAGGACCGATTTAACCCCTAAATGACTGTTTTATGCAGTGTCAGTCAGTCCCTCTGGCCTGCTGCCTGCATCAACAAATTCACGATGAACAAAAAAAATATTGCCTTGTGTATCGACCAATCAGCGTGTTGTCAAGGCAGAATTTCAGGCACGGCCAATCATATTAAACCGACACATAGTGAATCATTTAAATAACTTGAAATTTTGAGTTCATAACACTTAAAATCTTAATCTGAAAGACTGTTGCTGCCAAATGAGTACATTAAACACAACTGTTTCATTTTTGATGCAAAAACTTGCTATTGTAAGTAATGTTAAGTTATGATAACTTGATTTCTTTATTAATGATAACATTGGGGTTTACAGTGTAAAAAAACATAATTTAATGACCTGAGACAATCTTATCAAATTTACAGTTTGATAAGTTTGAAATCGCCAGCAGTTGATTTTGATATTCTAGGTATTATCAACTGGGCGGAATTTTGAGATCGCAATAGACGTGAAGGAGCTCTTAATGTCTCTTAATAGACATTAAGAGCTCGTTCAAGTACTGGGGAGCTAAACCATTTAGTGTTTTGTAAGTAATC